TTGTGAATAGATAAAAAAATATATCTATTGTAAATCTTTTGGAAATGGTTCTGTCACATTTACAAAACATAACTCAACAGTTGCCATCATTGGGCAGGAAGCGGGGAGTGCGAGCTGACTTCTGGCTCCTAGCATCTGTGCACCCCCTGCTGGCACATATGCAACAGGCACACAGTAAAAGGCAGCACAAGAAAAAAGTTCCCTTCAGCACTTTCAGATTGTTAAAAACAAACCTTTAATCTTGAAACACTGATTTTTTTTTTTTATATCTCTGGGTCTGTGACAGGAGGTTTCAGCAAAACATCAGAAACACAAGAACAGGACTCTTCTGGCTTGTTGTTGTTGTATTTCAGTTTTGTTTTGTTTTTTTGAGACAGGGTCTCACTATGTAGTTGAGACTGACCTGGAACTCACTATGTAGCCCAGGCTGGTCTCAAACTTGCAGCGATCCTCCTGCCTCAGCCTTCCGAGGGCTGGGATTACAGTTGTGCACCACCACACCTAGCTAGTTTGTTTCTTGAGACAGAGTTTTGCTATATTGTTCAGGCTGCCCTTGAACTCACCATGTAGCCCAGGTTGGGCTCAAGCTTCTAGTCATTCTCCTGCCTCAGCCTCCTGAGTGTTGGGTTACAGGCTTGCACGACTCCATCTGGCTGACTCTTCCGGCTGTAAGCCTGTCCGGTCACATAGTAACTATTCAGTAAGATTTTTGTTTCCTTCCTTCTTTTTTTTTTTTTTTGGCACTGAGAATTGAACCCAGAGCCTTGCGTGTGCTAAGAACGAGTTCTACCACTGAACTGCACCTACAGGACTAACAATACTGTCAGTTATGTGGAATGTAGTTACTCAACTAACCAGTCTAATTCAAGCATTCAGTGAACAGGTCCTCAAGAGCATTGCACTCACGCATAAAATAAAGCATGTATCTATAAAACCAAAAAGGAAATGGTCTAGAATGCCCCAGAACATTGTAAAGCTTGTTTTAATAAAATTTAAACTCCGTTTCCCTCCTTGACCTGGGCAGTGACCACCCAGTGAGTTTCCCCTTTCCAGATTCAAATGTTGCTAGAGGCGGAGAGACTCAAGTTCACATCTCTGGGCAGATTTTCCAGCAAGGGTAAAGGTGTCCTCAGCTGGGTCCCCTTCAGTTCTATTGCTCCGCTTCCCTGGTTCCTGCCAAAACTAGAGATGGAGGCCACCTGGAGCCTGGGGATGACAGTCACAGAAGACGAAGTGCAGCAGGAAACCAGGAGGAGCTGGGTCCAGCAATGTCCTTAAATGGCTCCATCCTGGAACTACTTCCTGATTCCAAAGAGAGACAAAAGTCCAAGGCACAGTGAATTGTGTCTGAGCCAAATATTACCCCGACAAATACTAAAACAACAGCCTCTCAAACATTCAAAGGTGCACCATAGATGGCAGTGCAGTAGCCTCATGTTCCAAGGGTTCAAGGCACTCTCTCAGGCACCACGTTTACGACATTAACGTATCAGGAAATACATAGTCACATAGTTTTGGAAGAACTCAAGTAATAGCTACTTCTATCACCCAAATAACAAAAACCTCTTAAATAATGAAATCTGGCCAAATATAAAAACGAGTGTCACATAAGGATGGACAATCCAGAGACTCCAGAACTAAACCCACGCCTTTATGAGCAAGTGTTTTTTTTCCCAGTGCCAAGGATCAAAGGCGGGGGTTTGCCGGGGCGTGGTGGAGCACACCTGTAATCCCAGCTTTGAAGAGGCTGAGGCAGGAGGATCAGAGTGTGAGGCCAGCCTGGGCAACAAAGAGAATAAAGCCAGGGGTTTGTGCATCTTAGGCAAGGGCTCTACCGCTGAGTAAAATCCCTAGTGAGATGGTCAACTGATTTAAAGAAGCCAACACAATTCAATGGGAATGGTCTTTTCAACAATGGTTCTGAGACAAACGCATAGCCATATGCAAAGAATGAAGCAAGTAGGAGGTGTGGGAGATGATGGGATGCTAAAAGTAGGTTCTGCTCCTATACAATTGGGCTGGGGATTTAGCTTAGTGATTCTGCTGCCTGCCTTGCAAGTGCAAGGTCCCAAGTTTGATTCCCAGTACCAAAAAACAAAACAAATGCCCACAACTGTGTATATGAAAAAAAGTGAGACCTTACAGTGTATATAAAAATTGGCTCAAAATGTATCAGACTTAAACATGAGCTGAAAACAGAAAATGCTAAAAAGGCATAAATCAACAAAATCAACTAAAGAAAGAACTAAACAGGACTTCAATGAAATTAAAAACTTTTGTACTTAAAAGGACATCTTTGGGCTGGGGATTTAGCTCAGTGGCACCGTGCCTGCTTCATAAGCACAAGGTCCTGAGTTTAATCCCTGGTACCAAAAAAAAAAAAAAAAAAAAAAAAAAAAAAAAAAAACAAAAAAAAAAAAAAAAAAATGTCATCTTGAAGAAAGTTTTAAAAAATCTACAGAAAGTAAACATTTTGCAAATTATGTATCTGATAAGGAATCAGTATTCAGAATATGTAAAGAACTCCTACACAAATAAGCCAAGTAACAAATGGACAAAAAAGCCAGGTGTAGTGCTGGATGTAGTGGCACACACCTGTAATCCCAGCACTTGGGAGGCTGAGGCAGGAGGATAGCTGTGAGTTTGAGACCAGCCTGGGCAACACAGTGAGTTCAAGGACAGCCTCAACCACAGAGCAAGACTGTGTCTGAAACAAAACAAAATAAAAAACAAAGCAAGTCAGGCCTAGTGTGGCACACTTGTAATCTCAGCTCTCTGGGAGGTCAAGGCAGGAGGACCACCAGTTTAAACTTATCCTTCGCCACTGTCTCAGGAAAAAAGCTGAGGATGTAGCTCACTGCAAAGGCCCAAGGTTCAATCCCCAGGACCAGCACTACCAAAAGAAAAGGGGAAGGATTTGAATAAAGATTTCTCCAGTGAAGATGGTTAAATAGCCAGTATCCGTATAAAAAAAAGATGCTCAACACTAGAGAAATACAAATCAAAACCACAGGACATGGCCTGGAGATATGTGGCTCCACCACCCTAAGTGGGAGCCACAGGCCTCCAAGCACAAGGGGGCCCTCAGGTTCCTTGAGGAGAGGGTAGGGAGACACAGCCACCCAAGAGGAAGAGCAAGGAGCTGAGCAAGATGGTGCCGCCAGGAGCGCAGCTGCCTAAGATGGAGCCACTCTCTGGTGTGGAATAAAACTCTGCAGAAAGGAACACACACACACGTGCTGTAGTATATTTTATCTCATGTACACAGCAACTAAAACAGGCAAGAAAAGGGAGGAGGGGGTGAAGGGAGGGCAGGGACAAGGGGAAAAAAATGAGAACCAGGACCTGTCACGTAAAGGTACAAGATCCCAATAATGAATGTAACTGTAGTGTATACCTAAAATGTACCAATAAACTCAATGAGGAAAAAAAAAAAAAGGAAATAAAAAGAAGTGCTGCCTGGTATGGTGGCTCATACCTATAATCCCAGCACTTGGGAGGCTGAGGCAGGAGGATCACCACAAGTTCAGGGCAGCGTGGGCGACACAGTGAATTCAAGACCAGCCCGATCTATAAACAGTGAGACACTGTCTTAAATAAATAAATAAATAAATGCTAATACATGCTATGGCAAGAGTGAGTTTTAAAAACTTTTAAGTGAAAGGAGCCAGACACATAAGGTCACTTCTCCTATCCTGGGGGACAGGGGCAGGAAGGGAGGCCGGGGAGGATGGAGGTACATCTTTCTGGGGTGATGAAAGTGTTCAGAAATTATAGTGATCATGATTGCAAAACTATACTAAAACCATTAAACTCTACATATACTATAGTCTGAATTTTAGCTAAAATTTTTTAATTGAATGTCAAAGATAAGCAATAAAGTTATTAGAAATTTATTAATTATTATTATTATTAAGCACCAGCTTAATACTGCAGAAATTTTTGAATCACCCTTGGATAACCCACTTCCCCTCCCATACCCGAACTGTTGATCAAGAGCTTTTCCATTAGACAGGCTCCCATCTTGCTCTGTGTGAAACTTTACGAAACAAAGGCAAAGGATTGTGCACATCCTGCTGTAAAACGCCGCCCGGACTCTGGAGACAGTGGCGGCCAGGTGCTTTTCACTGCCCGGGTCCTGACAGACTCTTATTCATGAACTGTCTCTTCACAAAACAGGTCCACCACTGCCAGAAGGGGACAAAATGGAATGAATAGTGGAGTCAAATCACAATGCATCTTCAGGGTAAGGTCAGAATTCACATTATGTATTTATTCAGGTACTGAGGGCCTTCATACTGAGCTACATCCCCAGCCCTTTTTATTCTTTACTTTGAGACAGAGTCTTGCTGAGTTGCTAAGGTGCCCAGGCTGGGCTTGAACTTGCATTCCTCCTGGCCTTGGACTCTAGAGGGCTGGGATTACAGTTATGTGCCATTGTACCCAGCAGAATTCAAATTTATTTAATAATATAATTTAATAGTGGACTGGGGATTTAGCTTAGTGGTTTGGCACCTGCCTCACAAGCACAAGGAACCGAGTTTGATCCCAGTACCCCCTCCAAAAAACAAAAAAATTAATAGTAGCTCAGGTCCTTTCACCTTATAAACTCCTCAGAAGCACATATAAAATTTTCTAGATGCATAAGTTACTCAAAATTATAACAGCTGGACATGGTAGCACACAACTATAACCCCAGCATTCAGAGGCTGAGGCAGGAGGATTGCCATGAGTTCAAGGCCAGCCTGGGCTACATAGTGAGTTCAAGACCAGCCCAAACTGCATAGTGAGACCCTGTCTCAAAAAATCAAAAAACAGCCAGGTATGGTGGCGCATGCCTGTAATCCCAGCACTCGGGAGGCTGAGGCAGGAGGATTGCTGTGAGTTCAAGACCAGCGTGGGCTACATAGTGAGTTCCAGGTCAGTCTCAACTACATGGTGAGACCCTGTCTCAACCCCCATCCCCACCAAAAAAAGCAAAAACCAAACAAATAAAAAACCAAAATTATGATAAAGTAGGTAAATGTTATACAGTCAGCTCTTTGTATTTGTGCATTTTGCATGTCTACAGTCAACCCATGGGGGGGTAGAGAATATTTGGGGGGAAAAAACTCTGCACTCAACAGCCTTCTCTGATTATCACTGTTCCCCAAATGATCTAGTAGCACAAGTTTTTACATGGCATTTACGTTGTATTAGGTAGTGTGAGTACCCTGGAGAGGAGGTGAAGTGTACAGGAAGAGGCGGGTAGGGCACAAGCAAATATTACGCCGTTTTATGTAGGAACAGGGCTTCCACAGACACAGGGGTCCCTAGTGGGTACTAAAGGTGATTACACAGTACAGCCAAGATACCTACAAAAAACCTCTTCTCTGGTTTCTAACACCCTGACCTAAGAACATAATGAAGAAGACAACTAAAATTTCCTTACTAGATACAATTCTTCATTCAGTGTGATCCAGTGAATTATTACCCACTGGGCACATACTCAAGTTAAACAACAGTGAGATGCAGAAATTAAAAGTTTCTTTCCTTTTCTTTACATTACTGAGGATTAGACCCAGGGCCTCACATATTAGGCAAGGGTTCTATCACTGAGCTACAGACCCAACCCTTTCCTTTTTTTCTTTTGGAAATACAGTCTTATTAAGTTGTCCTCAAAATGGCAATCCTCCTGCCTCAGCTTCCGGAGTAGCTGGGATCACAGGTGTGCAGAGTATGCCAGGCTAAAAGTATTCTTGCAATGGAAGATATTAGTGTGTTTAATGGTGGCCAACAAGCTAAAAGGTGAATTACCAAGTAAACAGCCAAAGAAGAGGCTCTTACCTTGCTGGGTTTATCATTCTGAGGATCAAAAACTTTTTCACAAAGTCTCAGTCCAGTCTCTTGCCTTAGCTGCTGCAGATAGGCTCTCATCACCTCTAAAAATAAGAAACTGTACTTCAGAGTTCATTCAAATAGCCTGGCTGCTGGTCTGGACACTGACCTTGGCAAAGCATCTTTATACATTCAAACAGGATAAGAAAAAAGCAATGATAGATCAAATACTTGATTCATTCTGGTCCCAAAGGTTCTGTGCATGCCCCACTTGCTACCAAAATGCTTATTAAAGTGACTTAGATACAATCATGTACATCGTAATGATTCCACATTCAATCTGCACACACCAATCGAGGCAAGAAAAGGATCAGGGAGAACGGCAAATGAAGAAAACCTCCTTCTGCCTGAGAGAGAGAGGACAGATATCTTGATCTTACCATCTTCCTGTTTGTTTGCAGGTTTGGCATAAATTGCATTTAGTGGAAAACCAGGCTCTCCAGGAATGGGAAAATTAGTGATTCCCAGTGTATACATTTCTTTCTCTCCTTGGCTTTTGGAATTGCACTGAAAAAAAAAAATTTATACACCTATACTTGGGAGGCTGAGGCAGGAGGATTATGAGTTCAAGGTCAGTCTGGGCCACATAGTGAGTTCAATTCAGCCTAGGCTATGTAGGAAGACCTGTCTTCAAGGAAAAAAAAAAAAAAAAAAAAAAAAAAAAAAA